TTGTGGTACACATACACAATGGAATATTATGCAGTCATAAATAAGAACAAACATATGGACTTCACAGCAACTTGGATGGATTTAGAGTCTATCATACTCAGTGATCTATCACAGAAACAAAGAACAGAATACCACATGTACTCATTCATAAGTGGACCCTGAACATTTACCATAATACTATAAGAAAGGGATTGGCAGTAGCGAATACTGGGGGTGGTGGGGGGAGGCACACAACATCAGTAAGTGTACCTGATCTCAAAGCAGGCAAAGTGGGGATCAAAGGGAGGCCCACACTTTACCTGTATGATGCCCACTTGTCTACCTAATCCTGGATATACCCCATATCTTTAAAATAAAATATTTTAGAAAAAAGAAAAAGAAGTGATTGGTTAATATCAGGTTACTTTTTGGTAAGGATTAAAGCAGAGGGCACTTTATTACCATGCTGATTGAAATTGGCCAGTTCAGGAAATTAGGCTGTTAATTTCTCTCTTCTGATTTCTGAGAAGGTCAGATAACATCTTAGGTTGGTTTGGGACTGCAGAAACCTCAGCATGAGTGACTCTATTTTGATTTTTAGCTTACTCCTTCGGGGCCTAGAACAAGAGCTTAGTCCAAAACAATGGCTTCCTATAATTTTATTGAACAATAATTATCTTCAGTATAAATCAAGGGAGAGGAAGGATTTATTATGTATTAATCCTTAACATCTGTCAACCTAAAGAAAGAAATAGAGGCAAAATTAATATAGAGATGTTTATTTGGGCCAATTTTGGGGATTACAGCCCCAGTCACACGTCTACGTTGCCTTGAGAGGTGTTCTGTTTGGTCTTTGCTATAACAGGTTTTAAAGGCAAAGGGAAACAAGGAATTAGTTGATACAAAGTTGTTTGATGGGAATTCTCACTGGTTTAAAGAGATAACATTGGGTAGCAACGGACTGTCTAGCATATGGCATTTTACAGCTACTTGGGGTCAGTAAAGGGGACTCATGGTCTTCAAAGAAAAAGTTTGTTCTTTTTCTCAATCCCAATATGGAAAGTGTATAAAGTGATCACCTGAGCCAGAGACCAGGAAGCTGTCTCCCAGAGGAATGCATTCACTTCTTCCATGAGTTTCCCATGGGGCAAGTCATGCCCTCATCGTGGATTTTGTCATAGGACCGACTACTATTTCAGTCCCAAGAAGTTTATATATATATATATATATATATATATATATTTTTTTTTTTTTTTTTTTTTAAAGAAGGTGCTCCCTCTGGGCCAAACAAGTAGAGTATGGGCTGGATTTTAGTCTAATCTTGCCTCCTTGTGCAGTGAACAACCTGTCTAATCATGTGCAGTGGCCCGCAGAGTTTCTAGACACAGTCCCTTGTCTGAGGTGACCTTCTGTTGGCCAGTTACACAAGGTCATTTCTTGTTTGTTGTTGAGAAGTCACTATCGAAGGGAGCCAGATATCTAAGTTTCTGTGGGCAGTGAGTCCATTCTAAGCTAGTTACATGATTAACTGATTTCATCCTCACAGTAACCCTACTATCCTATTGTTAACCTCATTTGTGGCATATGAGGAGTTGGAGGCTCAGGCTGGTGAAGTAATTTGCTAAATTACAGGGCTGGGATTTGAACGCAGGCTGTCCAGCTGTCTCAGCCAAGGCAGTGAGACACCTCACCTTCCTTAGTCATTGCTAAGCCAGGCCTGTGAAGAGCACCCTTGTCCCTTCTCTTTGTTTCAGCCTGTGTCTGAACAACCACTCCTTACAATGAAAATATTCTTTTCTCAGATATGCTGATACGTTCCTTGGTCAGGGCAACAAGGCCTAGATCCACTCTGCCCTTCAGATGATTCTGCCAATCTCTGTTCAAGACTGCAAGGTTTTTCCTCGGAAGGCAATTGCTTCACCCTTATTTCCTAGTTATTGTGGGACACCTCCTCAGGGTGCCCAAGTTCTGACAACAAACACCCACTCAGATCACTAGAAAAATCCAAACCAGTCTCAGAATTTCAGAGGAGGGATTGTCTAATGTTTCTCTTTTTACACAATACACTTTTGAAATGCTGTGAGCAAGAGGAATTCTAGAATTTGTAGATACTTAAGTGCTCTGAAGCTGTTAGAGAAAACCTAACGTGAAGGCTTTTATTAAGTAGACAACTGGATTTGTAAGTCAAACAATTACTCCCAGCCAAATAAAAACAATGACTTCTATTTCCTGACACTTAATGCAGGCTAGAAATTGTGCAGGCGCTTCAAATCTATCATCATCATCATCTCTCTCTCTGTAATAACAACTTTATTGAGATATAATTTACGTACTGGATCATTAACTCCTTTAAAATGTGTAATTCAGCGGAGATTTTTTGGTATGTTCACAAGGGTGTGCAACCATCACCACTATCTCATTCCAGAACAGTTTCATTGCCCCCAAAAGAAACCCCATACCAGTTAGCAGCCACTCCCCATTCCCATTCTCCTCTCAGCCTCTGGTTAACCACTAATCTATTTGCTTGCCTATTCTGGACATTTAATATAAATGGAACTGTACAATAATTGGCATTTCATGGCTGACCGTTCATCTAGCATAATGTTACCAAGGTTCATCCATGTTGTAGAGTGTATTCGTACTTTATTCCTCTTTATAACCAAATACTGTTCTATTTTACGGATATGCCCCATGGTGTTTATCTACTCATCTGTTGATGGACATTTAGGTTGTTTTCACTTTTTCCATCATCCCTTTTAACCTTCATCCCATCCCTAGAAGTGTGTATTGCTGTCCTCCATTGATTGACTAAATAAATTGTGTTTTCTATTTTTTTCTTCTTTTCTTTTTAGAGATGAGGTCTCACTATGTTGCCCCAGGCTGGCCTTTCATAGTGCTCTGCAGCCTCAAACTCCTGGGCTCAAGGGATCCTTCTGCTTCAGCCCCCCCATGCAGCTGGGACTATAGGCATATGCCTCCACATTCAACTGTGGATTATGTTTTCTGATGTCAACTAAAAAAAAAAAAAATCCAGATTTTAGAGTTAAAGTTAAGCTGGGCATGGTGGTGTGCACCTGTAGTCCCAATTACTTGGGAGACTGAGGCAGGAGGATTTCTTCGGCCCAGGAGTTCAAGGCTGCAGTGAGCCATGATGGTAACACTGCCCTTGATCCTGGGCAACAGAAGGAGACCCCATCTCTAAAAACGAACATACAAGCAAACAATCAACAACCTACAAAATTATAGGTAGTTTTATTCAGAAATTTTTTTTTTTTGAGTTGGAGTCTCACTCTGTCACCCAGACTGGAGTGCAGTGGCCGCTCCTGGCCACCGCAGCCTCAACCTGCTGGGCTCCAGCGATCCTTCCGCCTCAGCCTTCCGAGTAGCCGGAATCACAGGTGTGCGCTACCACGCCCAGTTAATTTTTTGATTTTATTGTAGAGATGAGGTCTCGCCTGCCCAAGGCGGGTCTCGAACCCACGGGCTCAGGCAATCCACTCACCTAAGCCTCCCAAGGGCACGGGATTACAGGCTGAGCCACCGAGCCCGGCTATTCAGCAGTTTTATCGAGGACTATAGACGAAGACCTACAGCCTCAGTTGTCAAGCCCACTGCTTACATACAGATGGTTGGGCTTCAGTATGTACAATATCCCATCAAAGTTTGGGTGTAAGAGTATACAGCTGGTTATAGATTACTAAAGTACATTTGGTTATAGATTATAGAAGCATAATCACTAACTCTGTCAGACGTTATTTTATGTGTACAAAGAGGCAAGGACTGGGGTCATTTATCTTTCAAGGAATATAGGCGAGAGGCATGGGGGGGGGCATGTGCTCTATTCTGTTTTATCTTGAAAGCATCCATATGGAGAGTTGCAGGTCTGTGAAGGAAGCCCCTGGCTCTGTGAAATTATGCTGGCAAGTAGAAAAGAGCAGACATGGCTTTTTATGTTTGTTACTTTGTCTCATATTGAGAACACAAAAAATTACAAATCTTCACAAGAAATCACTGGCTCAGAGATTAGTCAAGTCCTGTTTTTCATATCAGAAAAGGATAGGAATTCGGACTTTAGCCTTCTTTCCAACCACACTCCTAATCTCAATTAAATGAAAATGTCCTAAGTCATGATTCCAGCTCCTGGAGTGCAGAATATTTCAATCAAGAAATTTCTGTTTGCGACCCTCCTGGGCAACTTGGCGAGACCTCATCTCTACAATAAATCAAACTGGGTAACTTCTCATTTTTCAGTTTTCATTTTAAATGTCACTTCCTTGAGAGAGCGTTCACAGACACACCCTTCAACCTTTAACAACAGGATCCTTCTTAAAGCACCCTGCATTTTTCTCCGACTATCACAATTTGTAACTGTCTATTTATCTAAGCGAATCTATGGTTTGTCCATCAACTGTGAACTCCATCAGAGCCCTTGTCTGTCTTGCTCTTGGCTGTGTCCTCATTCACCAAACATTTATGGAAAACAGTCCAGTCCTTTCCTGAATTTGGGTCAATTAAGAGACAGCAACCAGTCTAAAAAATCACACAGATTAGTGGCAGACTTGATCCCAAGTCTCCTTACTTACCCAAGGTTCCACCCTGAGAGCTGACAAGAATCCTTCTAAACTACCTACTCATGTATTTTGAGTGCTGAAGAAATTTCCAGAAAGGGAGGGTGCATAGGCACATGGAGAGTGGTGGGAAAGTGATTTGGTTCAGCCCCTCCTCTCTCAATCTTAACGTGCGCACACTGAAGTGAGGGACTACAGCAACAGCAACGTGGCAGCGCACCAACAAAGAACCAGCGAACAGACAAGCCATTTAAAGAGCCTTAGGTGAGGAGAGATGGTGAGAGAAGGGGAGAAAAGGGAGAGAGAAATGGAAAGGAGGGGAGGGGAAGGGAAGGGAGGGGAGAGGAGACCCTGCGCATGCGCAGTCGAGGCGCTCCGTTCTTTCCTCCTCCGCCCCGCCCCACTCGCCAGAGTCAAGGACTCAGAGCAATCAGCTGACGCCACGCTGCGCGCGTCACGTGACAGAGGGGCGGGGTGCCGACGCAGGGCGCAGGCGCAGATTGTGGGGGGCCGGGTCAGCTGACCCCTAAGGGCCTTCGAGCCGACATAGGGGCCCTGTATCGGTCTCAGTTGCCGCCACCATGGCCAGTCAGTCGCAGGGCATCCAGCAGCTGCTGCAGGCCGAGAAGCGGGCCGCCGAGAAGGTGTCCGAGGCCCGCAAGAGTGAGTTTCGGGTTGGGACGGCCAGTAATGGCGCGAGTCTAAGGAAGGCGGCTAGGCCGCAAGATGAGACCCGAAAAGCTACGGGATGCGGGCGTGGTTATAGTTGTGGAAGTTCGTGGGGTTTTTTTTGTTGCTGTTTATTTTGTTTTGTTGTTTGTTTGAATTGGGGTGTCACTCTGTCGCCCAGACTAATGTGCAGTGGCACGATCACGGCTCACCGCAACCTCGACCTCCTGGACTTAGGCGATCCTTCCACCTCAGCCTCCCGAATAGCTGTGACTACAGGCACGCACCACCACGCCCGACTAATTAAAAAAAAAATTATCGAGATGAGGCCTCGCTAGTCTCGAACTCCTGGTTTTCAGCGATTCTCCCACTTCGACCTCCCAGAGTGCTGGGATTACAGGCGTGAGCCACCGCGCCAGGTAGCTCGTGTGTTTTGAAGCTCTCTGGAACTGAGGTTCTGGGAGACTTGTGGAGTCGACTGGAGAGCTCGGCGTGAGATAGAACATCGGGCGTGGAAACAAGGGGTTAGCGTCTTTGGAGTGGGGAGGCCTATGAAATGGGCTGTCCAAACGGAACGCTTTGTCTTTCCCCTCTCCCCCTTACTCTTGGGTGCTTAGCCTCAGAAAAGAGAGCTACCATCCACACAGTGTCTCATTCTAGAAGCCTGGAGTTTTGGCCTCTTCTCCCTCCCTCATTTGTCACCTTTAGTCACTCGTCTAGGCTTGTTTGTGTATCTTCTCTTCCGCCAGCGAGCTACCGTAGCCGCTAATTCGTGGCTCGCGCGCGCGCGCGCGCGCCCGTGTGTGTGTGTGTGTGTGTATTTGTGCGGCTAATATGTGGCAGGGGTAGTGTCCGGTGCATCTCTTGTCTTTGCCAACGTGGCATTCAACGTCTCAGTGAAGGAAGCAGTTGTTGGATAGTTTAGTGAAGGAAGCAGTTGTTGGATAGTTAGTTCAGTTGTTGGATAGTTTAGTCTCAGGTGAGGTGAGAGCGGGGGTTGAGAAATGTAAGGCTGCTAAAGTATTTAACAGGTGGGTCTGATCTAAACTTGGGGGTGGAAGAGCCGGTCCTACATAACTCCGGTCAATCCGTTCTCCTCTCTGTCATCAGGCATCCTTCTGAAATGCAAATATGACTACCTCACCGCCTTTACAGTCAGACGTTGAGTGCCGGCAGAATAAAGCCCAAATTTCGTATTGGGGTGGGGTAATCTTTTTTGGATCAGGCTACATACTTTCCTCCAGCCATTTTGAATCGCTTTGATTCCTCAAAAGCATGCATTGCACCTTCAGTTCTTTTATCTGTGAGCCTTTGCACACACTCTTTTCTCTGATTGGAAGAGACTTTCCCCTTTTTCCTCCCCTTTGTTCTCTAATCCTTGTTCTTCCATCAGACCTCAACATTTAGGAGTAGTTCTTCCAAGAAGCCTTTCCTGACTCCTCCCCCCCAAACTAGGCTGGGAGTCCCTCCCAAGTTTATTTCTGTCACTGTTGTGCAGTAACCTGTTTGTTTATATGACTCTGTCTCTAGTCTAAGCTTCTGAAGACAGGGGCTGAGTCCATGTTTTAATTTCATGTATCCAGTTTCCTATTTGGTCAGAAAGATGTTTCTATCCCTATCTTACAGATGGGAAAAATGAGGCTCAGAGAGAAATGATGTGACCATATCCTGGGAAGCAACATAGTTGGGGGTTAGAGGTCTCCTTTCCCGTGCAAGACTAAGATACTGAAATATAGTGATCTTTGTAATTCTTCAGTGTTTCTCCTAGCAAAAGTCTTACACTCTATCTGACATCCAAGTAGATTTCAAGCATCTCTCTTCTATTCTCTCAATTAGGGGTTGTGTGGTACTCCATATTTAGTAGGAAAAGCTTTCTTTGAGGATGCCTTTTCTTGTTCTGGTGACTGGAAAGATTCTGTGTCCCGTGATAGAGTGTTTCCAGAATGACTTTCCAGAGTTTGTGATGGCTCATCAGTGACAGAAATTATATCTACTGGGAAAGATGTGACAGTAGTTGGGGGAAGTGCAGGAAAAAAAATACTTGGAATATGGTAAGAATAATCCTGAGTGCCTTGGCGGTGTAGGGGGTCGTGTTTTTCCATCTTTGTCCTGTCAGGCTAGTGTAAGTGTATCTCAGGTAGCTGTTAGATATTTACTAAATGAATTTGTTTTAAAGGCGTTAGTTTATGGCTAATAAATAAGTCAGGATTGTTAATAATTAGGAAAAAGAGTTACAGTTTGAGAAATTACTGCCTTTCTTGATCTGTAATTATGGGTTACAGATAGTGTATGATGTGTGGTGTATGATGTGGTAAAATCAGTGTATGATGTGGTGGTAAAATGGCAGTGTATGATGTGGTAAAATGGCCCAACCCAAATTTTTAAGGAAATCATTGCTTTGGACCTTAACATTTTTAAAAAAGTTTGTGTTGTGGATTATTTCATTGGAGGGAAACAAAACACTGGCTCCCATATGTAAGACCCAAGAAGAACAAGTTTTAAAATAAATGTGGTTTCTTGTTGAAATATTTTTAGTTTTCGGAGAAACCTATCAAAGAATATTGAAGGTGTTTGCTGAAAGGCAGCGAATGGTTTTATCTTAAGTAGTAAATGCAGGGAGCTGTGGGAGTTAGGAGTGATGTCTTGAGAAACTATGTGGAGCTACTGCACATCTGGACCATGAATGTTATTTATAGATTGTTCATTTGGAAAAGATCTTTGGCTTTGAGATATGACTCAGCATAGCTAATGGGAGGGTAGCATGGGAAGGATTGGGTAGAGGTGGGCTGAAATGGACAGCAGTAGACCTGAATTAATCCTGGAGTGAATGTAGACTTTCAGAAATAGTTGTTGGGGTGCTTAGACCTGTTACTTGTTTCAGACTAGCCTCATGGAATGTTGACATCATAGAGTCAATCAGGAGGTGGAAGGTTTAATTCATTTTCATTCACCGGCTTATACTCTAGACAGTTGATACACAATGAGGTATAACAAAGACTGTCTTTTGCTCTGAGTTAAATAAATACTCAAGTTGATCTAAGAACCCTTCTGATTTTTTTATTTGGGGACCCAAGAAGTTTGGTGAGCAGAGGTTCAAAGCAAGAGTATGTGTTGACTGGTCTTGTGGTCTGTTTTTACAGGCTCTGAAAGAACCTAGAGGTTTTTTTCCAGCTTTGTTGAAACTACTTTCTTCTAGATACTAGAACGCCCTTGTCTCCCTGCTTCTCAGCTGCTTGTGCCATCTTACTGTCCAGTGCTCACCATTCAGCATTCCTTCCACTCACCACTCTCATTACATCCTTGTGACAGACAGAGATTTAAAGTTTCCAATATTATATCATCTATTTCATTAGTCATTGAGGGTGATGTCCCTTGGGCGCATTTTTACCTCCTTGCTAAGCTTTGAAGTAGAGCTCCAATTGTAATCAGCACCATTTTTAGGTGTTTACTTCTTAGAGAGGAAGGGTTCCCCAGATGGCTACTGTTAGCCATTTTATGTTGGCTGTGTAGTTGGAATTGAGAGAATATTCTGACACATCCTACAATTATTTTCCATCATATTTCTGGCCTGTCATCGTGGAAGTTATTCCTTTTCATCTGGTTACTTTCTAGTTAAGTATAATCTGTAGGAGGCAGGGTTCCTTCCCATACATATCTCTTGAGACTGACTTTTTGTCCCCTTATGTTTACTGTTAAAATTGCCATCTCAGTTTGCTTGCTTTTCTACTTGTCTTTTAACTTCCTAATACAGCTCTCTCCTTTGAAAACAGGGAAGAACAGGAGGCTGAAGCAGGCCAAAGAAGAAGCTCAGGCTGAAATTGAACAGTACCGCCTGCAGAGGGAGAAAGAGTTCAAGGCCAAGGAAGCTGCGGTGGGGTCCATTTATTTTCATTACTGCTTTAGCTCCCTGAGACTCTCCATCACTCACACCATGCCCAGGCTTTTGAAATATCCAGCATAGCTTAGAGAGTATGCTCAGACTGAGTCTTTTAGGATGATATTTTTCATTCACATTGAGTTTTCATTTGCTCAGTCATTTAACAAATATATATTGAACATTAACATGTGGCAGGTAGTGTGCTAGATGCTGGGATCAGCTGTGACCAGAAATAGTTGTTGTCCTTTCCCTCATGGAACTCAGCTTATCATCTAGAGGTCAGGGAGTCTCAGTTAAATAGTTGTAAATAGATAGTTGTAAATAAATAAATAATAAAATGCAAATCATGCAAACCCACAACTGCAGAATGTGCTGTGATGGTCATAAACATAAATCAAGTGGAAATCCCATTTTAGTGTAGTATGTGGAGAGACATTTACCAGTCGTATAGGCTATGTATAAAGCATACAGCAGCCGTACAAAGCATACAGCAGCCATACAAAAGCAGATCACAGGGAGTACAAAGAAAGGGAAAATTCTAGAAAGGGGGAAAAATGGGAGAGGGCTTCACAGAGACTCTTAGGTGCAGATAACAGAAAACATAATTAAAACTGATTTAAAATGGAATTTACTGGCCTGTGGAATTAAAAACCCAGGTGAAAAGCTAACTTTATCTTGATAAATAGCCTTCTCATAGGTTGTTGTGAGGAATAGGCAATGTGACAGAATAGCGTGTATTAAATTGTAAATGGAAACTGAAGGAGTAAGACAGACATGCATCCAGTAAAAAAATTCGGGCAGTAAAAAAAGGACAACTGTGAGAAGTTAGTTTTCCTCTCAGATCTGCATTCCTCAGAGTCAATCACTGTTAACTGTTTTTTTGTGTGAATTTGTCAAGAATATTTATATTTGAAAGAACAGATATGATATGTTGGTGAATCCACTGCTGAACTTAAGAGCTAAAACATTAACTAATAATGGTAAAACTCCTTGTATATTCCTCTTAAATTGCATTTCCCTTGTGTTATTATTCTGTTGTGTGTGTGTGTGTGTGTGTGTGTGTGTGTGTGTGTTTGGACTGGGGCCTTGCTGTTTTGCTCAGGCGTGGCTAGAACTCTCAATCCTCCCACCTCAGTCCTGAATAGCTGGGACTACAGGTGCCTACCACTTCCCTGGCTTGTGTTTATTATGCTTAAAGAGTTTTTTTTTAAACATGTAACTCCCCACTTTAAAAACCACACACACACAAAATACTAGCCACACTGATACTGTTCTGTATCTTGCTTTTTTCTTTCTTAAACTGCATATTTATAGTTCATTTCATATTGCTGAATAGTGTTCTCTTATATAGAAACACCATCATTTATTTAACTGACTCCAGTTTTTGAGTCTTTGGGTTGATTCCATTCTTGGATTAAGGCTATGCATTAGACTTTGGAGAGATGTGAATGAGTCTCTCCAGGATAACTTTCTGGTAGTGGAAGGCTGTGCCGCTTACCTTTTGTAGATGTGGTTCCCATTAACTATGGGAATACCTACATGTTCTTCAGTTATGAGGTAACATTGCTGACTACTGGTTTATATCTGTTGATTATGAAATGTCCCTGACCAACCCAAGCATTGTCCTGATAATCCCTCTGTGTCTTTGCTTCCCCTCTCCAGGCTCTGGGATCCCATGGCAGCTGCAGCTCTGAAGTGGAGAAGGAGACCCAGGAGAAGATGACCATCCTCGAGACCTACTTCCGGCAGAACAGGGATGAAGTCTTGGATAACCTCTTGGCCTTTGTGTGTGACATCCGTCCAGAAATCCATGAAAACTACCGCATAAATGGATAGGGGAAGATCAGCATTTTTGGATGCCTTCATAGAATATGAGGCTTTAGCAAAGCTCAAGTTTGATTCCTATGAAAAGGTGTTAAGTTATTTCCTTATATTACATAGTAGGTCCCTTCACTTTTTGGAGAGTAGCAAATCTAGCTTCTTTGTACAGACTTAGAGTTTTTCTAAAGGTGTCCTCCTTTTGCCTCATATTTCTTGAGGTATCCCTTTCTTTTTTATAGGTATATATTGTCTCTTTTCCTGTGCCATTTGGCTCTAGCAACATGTATATCAGTGATGACTTTTTCTTTGTTAGATCTAGGGAAAAAAACCTCAATTATTTGAAGAAAGAAAGGGATAAAATAATTTTTTTCCCAACACTTTCTTAAAGGTCAGGGGCTTTATCTATGAAAAAGTAGTAAATAGTTATTTGTAACCTGTGTGAAGCAGCAGCCAGCCTTAAAGTAGTCCATTCCTGCTAATGGTTAGAACGATGAATACTGGTGTAATTGGGCTGCTTCTAGTTTCTCTTAATCAAAATTACTAGATAATAGAATTCAGGAACTTGTTACATGTTATTACTTGGTGTATCAATAACCGTTTAAAAGTAAAGACTCTTTGTCATGCATTTTTTTTCTTCCTCTTGTTCTTTTTTGCTAATGCAAAGTACACTTTAGCTCAGATGTTCTGCAGAAATTCACTTAGGAAATTAGCACACAAATCACATACACATTTGCATATACAATTGGAAAATATTTATATGCATCTTAGGAGGAAAGAAAATGCTTGTGATTTTATCCTACAACTGTTTTGAAAAACAGCAAACAGTCAGTTTGTAGTTTGCCTTTTTTCTAGTGCACCTTGTACTGGGGCAGCCTTGGGCAAGTTATCAAGCATATTTTCTTCTTGGTTGGCTAAATGATGTGCCTAATTCCTGTAGTATCTTCACTGTAGCCCTAAGAGTTCAATGTCCTGTGGTCTTCTGTTAACTGAAAGTCTTTCTTTGGTTGCAAAAGTAATTTCTGATAAGCAGAAACAGAACATCATGGGATTTCACTTGTTCTGAAACAGTACAAGACAACTAGGTAGCCTTTCAAACTAAAAAGTCTCATATTTAATGTGACTCAAAAGGTTTGATCACAGGCCGCTACTATTTCTAGTTACTGTTTCATTTCTCTGTTCCTTTTGATAGTAGAATTCCTTAAAATAGTTACTCTGTAAACTTTTCCATTGTTTACTGTTAAAATACCCAGGCTTGCTACTCCATAGTCGAGATCACCAGTGGTGTCCAGATAGAGAAAACCAGTCCTCCTACTTGACCTCCTGTACTCTTAACATGTCTTTCTTGAAGCGCTTTCTCTGGCAGCTTCCGTGAAGCAGTGATGTGCTTCCCTGCTTCCCAGTCTTTTTCTGATTCCCCCTCAGCTCTGTCCAAGGTTTTGTTCTTGGACTCCTACACATTCCCTTGATGAGACCACCTTATTCATGGCTTAACCATCTATATTGAAGACTCATTATACTTAACCCATTTCTCTTGAACTCTTGTCAGATTGCTTAGCAGATGTTTTGCTTTGGATGTCTGGTAAACATCTCCATCTGAACATGTCCCAAACTAGGCTTGGTTTTGTTAAGACTTTACTCTTGCAATTACTGAGTGTAGCAACTTCAGATTCCCAAACTGGAGGAACATTGATTTGCTAGTTTAGGCTCATTGATTTTTAACTTGGTTGCCACCAACATTTTTATTTTATTGGTAAAAGTTGTTACCCTCAGTAATAGGGTTGTGCTTATTTACAACTGCTTGACTACTAATTTTGAACCAAGCAGCTCAATGTTGCTAGTCACAGAAGCCAATAGAGAGGAAGATTTCAAAAGGGGTGTGATCAATGGTCTGTTGAGATGACAAGATCTGAAAGTAAAGAGCTTGCTGACCTGGAAGAGGAACCTAAGTGGTTTGAAGAGTGAATATAAAGTGACTAGAGAAAAAGATTCCTCTGTGAAGTGGGGTGGGGCTGCCTTGTGGCCAAGAAAGGTGGTAGTTTAGGGGAAGTGGTAGCATGCTGGTGGGGAAGGGGGAATAGAGGGAGAAACAGCCGATGTTATGGAGGAGCAGATCCCAGAGGGCTGTGGAGGCCTTGGGACCCAGGGTACAGATGAGTGGATCTTGTTCTCAGACCTCATTGTTACAGGAAACAAGGGTGTTCAGGCCCCTCCCTGGCCAGTTGAATCAAACTCTGGGGGTGGGACCAGAACAAGATCTTAAGACACTGATTTGGGAATTGATAAGGGAGGGGACTTCCAATGTGGTCTGCCTTGAGAAATTAGCATCCGTAAGGCTAATCACCAAAGACACAGATACCTTAGTTCTACTATGCGGTGAACTCTTTAAGATACAGGACAGTGTGTGTGTGATTTGTTTTTCATTTGATCATAAAACATACACACATACTTATGCTTAAACATATGCAGAATTTATCTGGAACTTGGAGGAAACATCATAATATCTCAGAAGAGGAAGGGTCTGGGTTTCAGTGGGAGAGTTTCTTTTTGTACACTTAATCCAACATAGGGCTGTTTAGCAGTGTCCATGACCTCTATTCACTAGATTTCAGCAGGACTTTTTCAACTGTGACAAAAATATTGACCATGCCAGGCATGGTGGCTGACACCTGTACTCCCAGCACTTCGGAAGGCCAAGGCAGGAGGATTGCTTGAGCCCAGGAGTTTGAGACCAGCCTGGGCAGCAAGACCTCATCTCTGCAAGAAATTAAAAAATTAGCCAGGCATCGTGGCATAAACCCGTAGTCCCAGCTACTTGGGAGACTGATGTGAAAGGGTTACCTGAGCCCAGGAAGCTCATGTAAGAAAATTTGGGATCACCAGGCTGGTAAGCCATGATCATGCCACTGCACTCTAGCCTGGGCAACAGAGTGAGACCCCTCAACTCCAAAAAAAAAAAAAATCCCCACGGTGCCAAAACCACCCCCAGATTAGAACCACTGTTCTACAGCAACAACAAAAGAATAATTAAAACACTACATCTGGTGCCTGGAGCATTTTAGGTACTCAGCAAACGTCTCCTGATTTTCTAAAATTTACTTTAGCTTTGGGAGTACAAATAGTTTTGGTTTGGTGCACCCACCACTCTCTGTGCCCACTATACCAGATCGGTGAATTTTTTTGTCCCTCTACCCCTTACCCTCTTCTCCTTTCTGAGTCTCCAGTGTCCATACCATTCTCTATGCCTTTGCAGGTCCTTAGTTTAGCTCTCACTTATAAGTGAGAACATGTGATGTTTGGTTTTCTGTTCCTGTGTAAGTTCACTTAGGAAGATGTTCTCCAAGTCCATCCAAGTTGCTGCAGAAGACATTATTTTTGGTGGGTGAATAGTATTCCATAGTGTTTATATACCATATTTTCATTATCCACTGATCAGTTGATGGGCATTTAAGTTGATTACAAATCTTTGTAATTGTAAATTATGCTGCCATGAACATGTGGGTGCAGGTGTCTTTTTAATATAACAACCACTGTCCCTTAGGATAAACACCTAGTAGTGGGATTGCTGGGTCAAATGGTAGATCTACTTTTATTTCTTTGAGAAATCATACTGATTTCAACAGAGGTTGTACTAATTTACACTACCACCAACAGTGTATAAACCTTCGCTCTTCTCTGCATCTGCACCAGCATCTATTGGTATTTTATTTGTTAATAATGGCCAATTTGACTGGTATAAGGTGGTATCTCATTGTGGTTCTAATTTGTATTTCTTTGATGAGTGATTTTGAACATTTTTTCACGTTTGTGGCCTTTGGATATCTTTTGAGATGTCTGTTCGTGTTGTTTGCCCATTTTTTATTAGGGTTATTTGCTTTTCTCTTGCTGATTTGTTTGAATTATTTACAGATCCTGAATATTAGTCCTTTTCCAGATGTATAGTTTGTAAGTAACTTCTATTCTGTAGGTTGCCTATTTGCTGTATTGATTTCTTTTGCTGTGCATAAGTTTTTAAGTAAGTCCCACTTGTTTATTTCTGTTTTAGTTGTATTTACTGTTGGGGTTTTAGCTATAAATTCTTTGCCTAGGCTGATGTCCATAAGAGTTTTTCCTAGGTTTTCTTCTAGGATTTTGATGGTTTCTGGTCTGACATTTATCCACCTTGAGTTAATTTTTGTATATGGGGAGAGATAGGGATCAAGTTTTATTTTGCTGCATGTAGCTATCCAAATTTCTGAGCACCATTTGTTGAATAGGGTGTCCTTTCCCCAGTGTATATTTTTATCTGCTTGTCAGCGATCCGTTGGTTGTAGGTATTTGGATTTATTTCTGGATTCTCTATTCTGTTCCATGGGTCCATGTGTCTGTTCTTGTACTGTACCATGCTGTTTTGATAACTGCAGCCTTGTAGTATAATTTGAAGTCAGGCTATGTCATGCCTCCAGCTTTGTTCTTCTTGCTTAGGGTTGCTTTGGCTATTCTGGCTCTTTTTTGGTCCCATATGAATTTTAGGATTTTTTTCTAATTCTTTGAAAAATGATGGTAGTATGATAGAGATTGTGTTGAATCTGTAGATTACTTTGGGGAAGATGGTCATTTTAATAATATTGATTTTTTTCAATCCATGAGCATGGGCTGTTTCCCCATTTGTTTGAGTCCTCTGCAATTTTTTTCATCAGAGTTTTATAGTTCTCCTTGTAGAGACCTTTCACCTTCTTGGTTAAATATATTCCTAGGTATTTAAACTTTTTGGCTGCTGTTATAAATGAAGCTGAGTTTTTTATTTGATTCTCAGCTTGGTCGGTTGCTCTTAGTGTATTGCCTTGCAACTGATTAGTGTGTGTTGAATTCATATCCTGAAACATTACTGAATTCATTTATCAAGTCTAAGAGTTTTTTGGAGGAATCTTTAGGATTCTCTTGGTATAAGATCATATTATTGCATACAGAGTAGTTTGATTTCTTTTTTTCCACTATGGATATACTTTATTTCTTTTTATTTTTTTGTTTTTGTTTATTTTTTTTTCCAGAGGAAGAGACTCTTAAGCGTGTTTACATGCTAATAGAAAGTCTCCTGAAAGAAAGAACTATTAAGGATACAAAGAAAGGAATTGATTATTGACACACATTAGTTTTCTATTGCTACTGCAAAAAATTATTACAAACTTATAGCATAAAGCAACATAATTTATTATTTTACAGTTGTGCAGGTCAGAAGTCCAAAATGAATTTGACTAGGCTAAAAATCATGATGTTGGTTCCTCCTGGAGGCTTCAGGCTTCTGTTCCATTTCTCTTCCTGTTTCTGGTTGTTGCCAGCATTCATAGGCTTAGTGCTGCATCATTCCAAATTCTGCTTGTGTTGTCAGGTTCCTTTCTCCTCTTCTCTAGTCAAGTCATTGTCAGCCTCCCTCTTATAAGGACGTTTGTGAGGACATTTAGAGGAGATTGGGATAATCCTAGGTAATATCACCATCTCAAGATCCTTAATTTAATCATTGCAAAGTCTTTTTTTCATAAAAGGTAACTTTCACATGTTCCAAAGATTAGAACCTTGCTATCTCTGAGGACCATTATTCAGTCTACCAAATGGTACAAGCTTCAAGATGCACAACAATGCTATTCTTAC